ATCATAAGCATGTACTATTCTTTGTAAATGCCAGAGGGCATATGCACTTGACAGACAGAAAATAGCCCTCACCCTCATGGGCTATGGTCATCCTGCACTCCCTTCTCCTCTATCTCTCCATCCTCTTGGGATTCTGTACATGCATGCACATGCACCTAGTGTGTTTTTCAGGTTGACAGGGCTAAGATTGGAACTGTGGCTGGCTATGTGGAATCTGGTTCTTTTAATTACTAGGCTATGGAGCTGGTCCTACAAGTGTTTATTATAAAACAGGATTAGGGATCAGCCCAGAAGCATAATGGTTAAGCGCAGTCCAGAGGGAGCCAGATCCCACATGGCCAACCTCGGTTCAAATCTCAGCCTGGTGGCACCGAGCACAGCTATACACATGTCCAGGATCCTGATGGGATGGAGGACTGGAGGAAAAAGGATAGTGGTATGTCCTGGTTCTGTTAAGGTGTACTTTTTCTCTCTTGCACATGTCCTCTGGCAGAAAAAATACATTAAAAAAAAAATGTGGCTGGTTTAGAAGAGCTAGGACAGCCAGAGCAAAGTGGATCTGGATGAGAGAAAAGCCAAGGTAGTAGGCAGTGACTGAGGATGGCATTCAGTTCAGAAAAAGAGGAAATCCAGGCAGAAGTATAGAGAACCCAAAATGCAACACTTGTCTTCCTCATTATTTCCTATGAGAGGCACCACAAATGTCAAGAAACTATTGATATTAATGGCCTTAAGAGTCCTAGACAAACAAGAATAGAGCAGATCTTCAGGCAATGTAACATCTATTCGCTATAATAAAAAATGTGAATGGCCATAACAGCTCAACTAGGGTAAGGAAACTGAGAAAAGCATGTAGGTTGGGTCAAGACAAGTCTTTAGAAGACTGAAACAAAACTCCAAGTGGAAACTGTATACAATGCAGGCTGACAATGGCAGCAAACAGAAAACTATCAGATATGAGATGGTATTTTTGAAAATAAGTTCTAAGTTGACTAAGAATATAACAAATCATGTTGTAAACCATGACCACTATTACAAAAGAACTTTTTTTTAAAAAAGAATTATTTCCTTTATTTTATTTATAATTATTGTTATTTTAAATCTGACCAGAGCAAGATGCTCAGAGAAAGAGAGAAAGCGAGAAAGCAAGCTGCCAGGTTTGGGACTTGAACTGTGGTCAGTCATGTGGGAGTCTAGCACCTTTAACTACCATGCCACCTGCCGACCCCAACAAAAGAGAATTTTAATGTGGTTGTGTAGAAAAAGAACCTTTGTTCAAAAAAATGTCCCTTTTACATATATAGTCAATGATATAAGCAATATGTGGCTAATGTTTTTAAATAATAATTAGCACATGGGATTCAACAGTCAATCCTTCCTATAAGGTAGTAATTTTATTGAAAGATGATAACTATATAACTGAAACAAAATGATGTGGTAACTTACACTATTATTTGTAGAATGTTATCTAGTAAGGGAAATGTCTTTAGAAAAGGAAGGCATTTCTCTTTCTAAATATTTCCCCTACTCTATATAACTTACAACTCCTCTTCTAGCTCCACAGCCTGGTTAGTTAAGGCAGTTGGAAAAACATGGCAAACCATGCGAGTCTGAGACTTGGTGGCTTGAGAAACACATCAGACGTATATGCGTGCATGCCCAAAAACCCAAAAGGAGGGCAAGTGAAGAAGAAGGGATTACAGCTTGATCATTCCCCAGGGGAGGGGGATGCATTCTCCTCTCCCTCTCTGCCTCTCTAAGGGGAGTACATGTTCCCTCTAGCAAAAAACTAAAAAGTGATAAGATATAAAAGGAATATGGGTCAAATTTTAAGAACCAAAAAGTTATAATCTGTATATAAATCCTTACAAAAAACAGCAAATTAAGAAAGACAAACACATCAAGGGGCATACTTTATTTATCCCTTCATCTGTTTACTAATTCTCCCTTATTTAGGAATATCTGACAGGCAAATGTCCTTTACACAAAGAGGAAGGCAGGATCTCCTAGAAGTTCAAGAAAATTAGAATGTTTTCTTCCTGGATAGCCAAGGGAAGAGGCTATTTTAGATGGTACTGCATTCCTTTTGCACACAGAAAGCAACTACCTACAGAAAAATCAACTTAAGGGATTAATTTTACTGAGTTAAATCTGGACTAAATGTGTATTACTACCAACTCTAACAATTTACATGGTGAAAATCACTGAGGTCATAAAGCTGATTGAAAGAATAAGTTTGTAGATATAATTTGTTTAAGTTGGTTCATATACTTCTTTTTCTTAGTGTCAACTGGACTTTATTTTAAATGACTGGACAGTGGATTTTTTTTTTAAGAGAGATTTTTGCTATAGTGTGTGTCCACTCACTGGAGACACAGAGAGAAGTCAGAGAGAGAAAGTGAGGAATCACTACTAGGGCAGATGGCCATGCCACAATCCCTTTTCCTCCATTCTCCTCTTAGGATTTTGGGCATGCACACACACGCACCCAGTGTGAGTTTCAAGCCTTGGGTCTCGGACTCAAACTGTGGTCAGCCATTTGAGAGTCCAGTGCCTTAAGCACTATGCCACCTGTTGGCCCGTGGGCACCCAATTTTAAGTAGCGGAGTAAGTGATCTGGTATACAGAGATGATAATCTGGCAGTTGTAGTAGAGAAGGAACAGAGCATGTCTAGAGTCAAAGGAGGCTTTTGCAGCAGAACTGATAGTGGACTAGAATGGTAGGAGAAAGAAAAGCATATGGAATAAGAAACAGGACTTGGTGATAGGAAATATGGTTATTAGAAAAAAAGATGTATCAAGAAAGACCTCACCACATTTTTGCTTTGGGTATCAATGAACAGAGCCACCATTTACTAAGATGGGAAAGACAAGAGAAGGTTTCTGGAGGATAATTGGGCTGAAGGAAGATCAAGATTTTTTTGTTTTGGACACTCAAGAGAATATGTCAATTGAGTGATTAGTTGGAATATATGTATCTTAAGTGGTCAGGCCCAGAGATAGAAACTTAGGAGTCATTAGCAAAAGAAGTTAGCAGGGACTAACTGATGTTTTTTCCTTTTCTTTCCCTTCCTTCTTTTTCCTTTTCTCTTTCTTTCTTTCTTTCTTTTTTTTTTATGGCATACCTAAAAAACTGTCTACAACCATGTTTGGAATGTAGCAGGTAATTAATAAATATCTGTTGAGTGAATAAATGAATGGGCATAAAGATGATACTTAAGGGGCCAGCAGGTGGTATGGTAGTCAAGGGCACTGGACTCCCACATGGATGACATGGTTCAAGTCCCAGACCTGGTGGCTTGCTTTCTCATTTTCCTCCACCCTCTGTCACACTCTGGTCAAATTAAAATAGTTAAATAAAATAATTCTTAATAAAAAAAAGGTTGATACTTAGAAGAGTTATAGGATGGTAGGAAATACCTTAGAAGGGATTATACATAGAACTGTTAAAGGTTAAAAAACATATATAGGTTGGGAACAGGGGGAGAGAGAAAGACTTAGCAAAGACTAAGAAATAACGGTAGTGAAACAGGAAGAAAACTAGGAGGCCATTCTATCAGAGATGGCAGTAGAGAGTGTTTCAAGGAGAAAGTAGTTACTGGTTCAAATGCTGTTGACATATGTAAGATGAAGACAAATGAGTGACAACAACATCACTGATAGTTATAACAAGAACTAGGGTACATAATCCACTCTTACAGGAAGGAAGGTAGTATGCATACAGATACAGGTAGGTTGGTAGATTTTGTGGTGCAGATATGGGTAAGATCCTTGACAGTCTCTATTTTCTTTTTCTTTTTTCTTTTTGGAGAGGTTTTTGCTATAGGGCGTGTGCACTCACCAGACAGACAGAGAGAGACAGAGAGACAGAAAGCGAGAAATCACCCCCCAGGGAGGATGGCCACGCCGCAATCCCTTCTCCTCTTGGGATCTTGGGCACGCACGCACACGTGCCCAGCGTGAGTTTTAAGCCACTGGGTCCAGGATGCGATCCACGGTCGACTACATGGGAGTCCAGCGACATAGCCATTACACCAACTGCTGGTCCCAGACAGCCTCTATTTTCTTAAGGAATTATAAAGCCAAGTATCAGTTGAAAGTGATTACTCAATAGATATTATGATGAGATAGAGAGAATATTACAGGAACACTAAGGAGAGACACCGAACTCAGTGTAGAGATGGGTGAAGGGGAGGCTTGAGGGTAAATGGGAATTAATAAGGAGAGGGTATAGAGGGGGAATAGGAAGAGCTCTCTAGACACATCCAAAATCTCACAGGCAAAGGAGGAAGGGCATGCTCAGGAACTAAAAGGTAAGAAGTTAGAGAGATAGGCAGATGCTAAAACCAAGATGATCCTTGCTTATAATACCAAAGGGATTAAAATTTGTCATGTGGACAATCAGAAGTATTACTGAAAATTATAATGTATAATTTTATTTGGGTAGTCTTCATAACAATTTAGAGGAAAAAAAAATCTATGAATTTAAATATATAAGATTAGTCCATTTTTACATTTAATACTTAACTATTGGAGAGGCACGATAGCTTAGTGGTTAAGAGTACAGATTCTAGGGGCCGGCAGGTGGCGTGGTGGTTAAAGGCACCCACATGGCCGACCATGGTTCAAGTCCTGAATCTGGTGGCTTGCTTTCTCACTTTCCCTCTCTCTCTCTGTGTCTGTATGATCAAACTGGAAAGTAACAATAATAATAATAAAGTTAAAATAAAATAATTGAAAAAAAGAAAGAAAGAAAAAAAAAAGAGTACAGATTCTAAAGCCTGAATGCTCGTGTTCAAATTCCAACCATGCCACTCAGCAGCTATGTGACCATGGGCAGTTATTTAACCCATGTTTCAGTTTCCTTATATTTATGTGGAGGTTTTAATAATAAAGAAGTAAATAACAGTACCGTCTCAAAGGGCTGTTGTAAAGAGTACTTAAGTTAACATGGTATTTTATAAATGTCAGTGCTATTACTAATTAGGATATAATTTTACCTGTTTTTTAATGGCATAATTTTCTCCATTTTCAGCTTTCATTTTTTCAATCTTTTCTTCTTGTTGTTTTGCTTCTTTTTCATACATTGCTTTTTCTTTGACCAATCTATAAATAAACCAGAAATGTTTCAGAGATTTTTCTTTCTTTCTAGAGAACAAACCACAGAAACAAAGAAACTATTTAAATATTATACAAAACATATTTAAAATACCAAAGTAGATATACTATTAGGTTGTTTGGAAAGTCATGATTTATTATTTTCCTATGTTTTTCTATGCATAAATGTGCCATGACTTTCCTGACAATCCATTAGATGGGAGGGAAGAAGGGGAGAAAACCACTTAAGCCACAGTAAGTATGACTCTCATGCTCTTAAGTCTTATAGCTGCCCAAAGCAAGTACAAAATTAAAAACTCATCCCATTGGATTACATTCACAATGTGAAACTACTATGTACTTTTGTCTTGCTTTGTAATTTTTTGCTTTGTTTTGCTACAGGACATGTGCACTCACAAGAGAGAGAGGAGGAGGAGAGGGAAAGTGAGAATCATCTCCCCCCACCCCCAGAAGGGATGGCCACACCATAATCTCTTTTCCTCTTTTCTCTTCTTGGGATTTTAGGCATGCACACACACGAGCCAGGTATGATTTTCAAACCACCAGATCTGGGACTCGAACCTCAAAGTTGGCCATGTGGGATCCAGAACCTTGATCTCCATGCCACCTACTGGCCCTTGCTTTCCTTTTTAAAAGATTATTTAGTCATTCCTCTATGAGTGAAAGAGACAGAGAGAGATATACACCAAGACAGAGACAGCACCCCTAGCAAGGTCTTGATGCCACAATCCACTCCCAGCTTCAGCCAGTCCCAGACCATGGGCACGTGTGCACAATATACTCAGGGAGGTCTCTAGACATGAACCTAAAACCTTCCTGAGTGGGTCAACCTCACAGAGTGTTATGTTTTACTTCTGCATCACCATCAGGTCCCTGTTTTGCTTTTTCATTGATATACTTTTCAAACCTTTTTATATGTATCAGCATAATGGTAAAAGCTCAGCTACTGGCAAAACAAACAGAAAATCTCAACATATTTGCCTACTAAATCCAAAACAAAAAAGAAAAATTAGATTATTTTTCAACAATAAAACTGTTTAACAAGTATTTATTGTGCATTCAATTTCATGCCGGACTTTCTTTGTGTGAAAATTGGGATAGACAATTTTGGTTCTCTCACAGACAAGTAGTGAAATCAAATTAGTACTTATGTACTAAAGCAAGGAAATATATTGTTATAGATCAGGAAGCTCTCTAACAATATGGAATAGTGCAATACAACGTTCTACTGATTATTCCTTAGATAACCAAAATTCAATTAACCTTAATAGTTCAATTTCTCCTAATTCTTTTTTATATATAATATATATATAAATATATAAACTCCAAGTATTACTATTCCTTTGTATACATTATTTCAAGAGCAGAAGAAAAAGTATTCAGAGTCACTTGCGTGCTTACTTCCAGATCCATTTGCTCAGAAAGAACTTAAAAACCAATTTTAAAAAAACATGGTCAGCAGTTGGAAAGGGGGTTAAAGGTGGCTGGATCTCACATGGCCAACTGCATGGTTCGAGTCCTGGACCTGGCAGCTTGAAAAGCACACTGGTGCATATGCACGTGTGCATAGGGTCTCAAGAGAAGAATAAAGGAGAAGAGACTGTGATCATGGTTGTCCTCTCTGAGGGGGTGATTCCTCACTTTCCTTCTCTATTTCTGGCAAGTGCACATGCCCTATAGCAAAACTAAATAAAATAGAATAAAAGATAAGTAATGGTTCTTTTCTAATCATTTGCAATGAAGATTTCTAAGTGTATTTTAAAGCATGATTTAATTTCCACATTCTAATGGTATTTAGTGTAAGTCCAAAATTTTAGAAAACAAAAAATTCTTGTTATAGTACCTAGAAGGATTTTTAAAAATATTTATTTAATTCTGTTACTAATATTATCATTTTTTTAATTTGACCAGAGACAGAGAAAGAAAGGGAAAGTGAGAAAGTAAGCTGCCAGGTCCAGGACTCTAATCGAGGTCAGCCATGTGGGAATCCAGCGCCTTTAACCACCATGCCACCTGCTGGCCCCAATATCTAGAAGGATTTTAAGTCAGATTTTAAGTCTGGACTTAAATGACTACATAAACTACATATTAAATAACTAAAATACTAAAATGTTGGTGCTTAGAACTTTGAGGCGTACAAGCGAGGCTCATCTTGTCTTCATAATCTTGTATTTTTTATATAAATGGAAGGAAATCAGCAAAATATTAACAGTATATACAGTAGACTTTTATGTGGTCCTCATATACTTTCCCTGAAATACTTCCAAGTTAAAAAACTGAAGTACAAAACAGTGTGTAGGGACCAGCAGTTAGCGTAATGGCTATGTCGCTGAACTCCCACGTAGTTGACCGTGGTTCACATCCCGAACCCGGTGGCTTGAAACTCATGCCAGGTGCGTGTGCGTGCGTGCCCAAGATCCCAAGAGGAGAACGAAGGAGAGGGGATTGCGGCATGGCCATACCCCCTGGGGGGTGATTTCTCGCTTTCTGTCTCTCTGTCTCTCTCTGTCTGTCAGCGCATGTGCCCTGTAGCAAAAACCTCTTAAAAAAAGAAACAAAAACAGTGTGTAGATTTTATGTTGCCATAAATATAAACAAACAAAACAGTATACTCAAAAAGCAATAACAAAGGATACCTGGGAAATCACTCTTTGCAAGTTATCTGAGAAGTGATCTTTTTAAAAAAGAATTTATTTAATTTTTATTTAGTCATCGTTTATTTTAATTTGGCCAGAGAAAGACACAGAGCGAGAAGGAAAGTGAGAAAAGCAAGCCACCAGTTCCAGTACTCAAACGTGGCTGGCCATGTGGGAATGTCCAGCACCCTAACCACCACCCTATCTGCTGGCCCCGAGAAGTGATTTTGGCAAGGAGAGGCCAGCTAGAAGTAGGTTCCCTGCCACTATATGTAAGTATTACTTTTATAAAAAAGGCAGATGCTAAGATTATTACTGAGTGACATAATTTAGAATAATTTTGAAGTTTACTGGTTTTCCCTTTAGCTGTTATTTCCTAAATTTTCTAGAATAAAGTATGATGCAAGCATTAATAGAAAGATACTAAATCTACTTAATAGTTGCAATTTCTAAATAGTGCTCTCCTTTGCAAGTTGGTCAAATGTGATTAGCTAAATAACAAAAATATAAAGTAATTTATTATATTTTAAAGGCATAATTAACTGAAAGCATTTTCCATTAGTCTTATAAGTTTATACCTATAATAAAACAACATAACAACTTCAAAATCTGGGGATCAGGCAGTGGCACAACAGAAATACAACTGGACTCACATGGCAAAGGTCCTAGGCTTCTGTCTGGGCCCTCACTGAGTATGCCAGGTATGTATGTGCACCTGTGATCCACACTGGCTGAGACTAAAAGTGGATTGTGGCATGAAAACCCTGTTTGGGAGTATATGTCTCTCTGTTTCTGGCTGTTTCCTTCTCTCATGAAAAAAATAAATTTAAAAACATTTTAAAATAAATCTAGTCACTTTCTATTTTTTTAGTTCCCACAGGACATGTGCTGCCATGACAGAAAGAGATAAAGCACCTGCCAGTGGGGTATGGTCATGCCGCATTCCTTTTTTTCTCCATCCTGTCAGGATTTGGGATACACATGTATACATGCCTAAGAGTGTTTTTCAAAATTTCAGGGCCAAGATTCGAGCCATGGCTGACTTTGTGGGACCTGATTTTCTCATGCACATGGCTTAATCTGCTGTGCTATAGGCCTGCATCAGCCCCCCCACCCTCTCTCCAAAAAAATATCTGGTGACTTTCGGGAGCTAGAGAAATAAATATGCAAAAAAAAAAAAAGGGAAAGAAAAACAAGTAGAACAATAGAAAGAGATAGTTGTAACATGGAGAAATATAAATGACAACCATCACGACAAAAATCAAATAATAAAACTACTTAACCACGTATATATAACAATATGTGATCTCATACATGTAGTCCATTGTTTCTCAAACTATTCGGTGGTACGCTAGTGGCCAAATAAGCTTGGTTAAAAACACTATTTGCCAAAAGATTTTACTATACTTATTTACAAACATTTATTTAAATATTAAAAGGCCCCAGAGAAGTCTTATAGTAAGGAAACCTGTTCAACTTTGTTCAACTGCAAACTTACTTGAGGCAAAAGAGGATTTCCCAGTACTTCCTGGCATTCTCAAAACAGCTGTCCTGCAATAAATGTTTGAGAGGAGCTTTGTAGAAATCTATGAACTTTTCACAAATTTGTGTTTAAAACACATATGACATACTGTCTGTATAAACAGAATAAAATCTGGGGGTCAGTCAAGAATTTAGAGACCTTGGACTAAAAATGCTTTAGCTTGATATTTTAATTTTATAGATTTTATTGTAAATCTTCCATAGTTACACTAATTTGACTTAGACTTACAGCCATTTAATAACAGTCCAATGTCACAAGGAACTCAAGCAGCTGTCCCAAAAAAAGATGATCAACCCTATAAGAAGACGGGAGAATGAGTTGAAAAAACCACTAAGGATGACATGTGAATAGCCAAAAGGCATATGAAAAAATGCTCAACATTCCTCACTGTAAGGGAGATGCAGATCAAAACCACAATGAGATACCACCTAACCCCATTCAGAATGACTAAGATTATAAAAACAAAAATGGTAAGTGCTGGTGGTGGGTGTGGTGAAAAGGAAACTCTCCTACACTGCTGGTAGAAATGTAAATTGGTCCAGCCACTGTGGAGAACAATTGAAGATTCCTCAAAGATCTACAAATAGAACTACCAGATGATCCAGCAATCATATTCCTTGGTATCTACCCAAAGGACAGAAGAATTCTTAATTGGAAAAGTGCTTGCACATCGGCGTTTATTGCGGCATTATTCACAACTGCTAAGACATGGAGGCAACCCAAATACCCATGAACAGATGAATGGGTTGAAAAAGTGTGGCGCATATACTCTATGGAAATCTATTCAGCCATAAAAAACAAGACCCTGGCTTTTGACAAAAAGTGGATGAATAGGGAAGATTTACTGCTGAGTGAAGCAAGCCAGGCTATGAAGGAGAGACACTGTATATCTCCACTTAATATATATACCAAGTGTCCTGTTCCCACTCTGTGGCTGAAACTAAAGGATATTGAAACATAGTAAATGGTTGGGAATACCAGATACTGTGTGGGAAGAGGGTGGGGGAAGGAGTACAGTCTGAGGAAGGACATCAAGGAGAAAAACAGAGAGGCAAGCCATTTATGGGACAAAGAAATGGGTTATTATCTATTGAAGATAACTTTCTAGTTTGGTGAACTGGACTGGTGAGAAATGTACACATGTTGGAATATTCACTTTGCAAGCTAAATAACATGTGATTGTAAGTATAAAAGAAACTGAAATCAACAAAATTAAAGGTTTAAAAAAAAAGTAACAGTCCAATGCCAAGCTATGGCTCATTACATGACCAACGGGATTTGTAAACAGTACAGTAAATAAGCAGGGAAATTTTAAAAAAAAAAAAAAAAAAGAATACGATTTCCCAGAGCTGGTAGAGGGGAAAAAAAAAATCAGCACTCCTAACTGAAAGACTTCTTAAGTGTCAGGTAGGATCAGTGGGGGGAAAAAAAAAACCATATCAATGTACATTATAAATTTCCAGAGCTCCAAGAAAATTAAAACTTTCAAAAAAGAGAAGAACTAGGCCACCTATAAAAAAAGAATTAGATTGACATTATTTATCATTAATAACACTAGGTATCATAAGACAATAAGTTCTGAGAGAAAATGATTTATAATCTGGATTTATAACTACAATCATCCTAGCTAACCGGGAAGGCATGGAAGAGGACCACAACTGAGATCCTGTCAAAAATACCATCTCTCTCTTCCTCTCTCCCCTCTTTCCTCTTCTCCTTCTTGTACCCTGACATTCTTTCTTCTCATTAAATAAACAAACAAACAAAAAAAACAACAACAAAACTTCAAAGATCTAAAAGAGGCAATAAATCATGTAGATAAATGATGAAAAAGGCCAAGGAACATTTTTAGGTATACAAAATTTCAAAATTTATCCAGAATGGATATATCCCCTTTCTGAGAAATTTATGTAAGAATATGTTCCAGAAAATTGAAGCTGAATATCAAGAAAAACCATAAGATCAAGAAGTCATGGTCTAATGATCAGTTTATTCAGTTTCAACTTTCAGAAAAGTCCTATGATTCAAATATACCTTTCCCCACTTCTTTGAACACAAACAATTTGTGTTTTTAAGGTTTGTTTGAAGATACCAATTTTTTTCTTATAAAATCCATGCTGGGGACCAGCAGTTGGCATAATGGCTATGTCGCTGGACTCCCATGTAGTCGACCGCAGTTCGAGTCCCAGACCCAGTGACTTAAACTCATGCCAGGCGTATGTACGTGCGTGCCCAAGATCCTGAGAGGAGAATGGAGGAGAAGTGATTGCAGTCAGTGTGGCCACTCCCCCTGGAGGGGGTGATTTCTCGCTTTCTATCTCTGTCTCTGTCTTTCTGGTGACCACACGTGCCTTATCGCAAAAGCTCGCCAAAAAAAAAAAAAAGAAAAGAAAAGAAAGAAAAAAAAAAAATCCATGCTGTAAGGGGTAGCTAAGGTGATCCCTGGTCAGTTAATGAAAAGGTCAGCATTTTATAAAATTATACCAACCAACCGAATTATAATCAATTCCCTGAAATGAACCTGTTTGAAATCCCTAGTATGATTTCCTTTTTTTCTGAAAGATATAATTCTTCTGTACTCATAGAGGCTCTCCTTTCTCTAAAGAAACAAATATTTTTGAGATTTTTTTTTTTGAAGCTTACTTATTTCCTGAGAAAGTATGAGAGAGGGGGGAGGTGGGCATCTGCCAGGGTCCTACCACACACTGTTATCTTCCGCCTGGTGCCCCTCAACTAGCCAGGACCACAGATAAGTCTAGGTCAACCTACATTCTGAATCTGAGGGCCCCTGTGTGGCGCCGGCACCACAAAGGGACACCTTACCACTTGTGCTACCCCAGGAGATCCACTTGGGATTTTTATTGTATGAGACAGGAAAAAAAAAGAAGAAACTTTTATTTATGGCCTAGTACAAACAAACTTTTGAGTGCCTTATTTTGTTGAATATTTATAATCCTATTTAAGTATTATCCCAATTTTATAGTCTCTTTTTTGTTGTTGTTGTTGTTACCAGAGGACACATGACAGAAAGAAAGAGAGGAAGAGAGGGAAGGGGAGAGAGAAAGAGAAAGTACCCCTCAATGGAGTGTGATTACCACTGCAATCCTTCTTCCTCTGTTTTTCCATCCCATCAGGATTTTCGGCACACACACTCAAGCAACCTGGCATGTTTTCCAAGCTGTCTAGGCTGTGATCTGAACCATGATTGGACATGTAGGATCCAGGCCCCAATACACTGTGCTCAACCACTGCAATATAGAGCTGTGGCCTGCCCTGCAGCCCCCATTTTATATCTCTTGTCAATCATGCCTCCCACAATCTTTTAAAAAGAGATTTTTTTTTTAAGAGATTTTTTTGCTATAGGGTGCATGGGCTCACCAGAAAGAGAGAGAGAGATAGAAAGTTAGAAATCAACCCCTGGGGGGATGGCCACGCAGTAATCCCTTCTCCATTCTCATCTCAGGATCTTGGGCACGCATGCACACACGCCCGACGTGAGTTTAAGCCACCGGTCCGGGATTCAAACCACAGTCGACTGCATGGGAGTCCAGGGACGAAGTCATTAGACTATCCGCTGGTCTCTAAAAAGAGAATCTTCAGACTTAAATAGAACTGAACTAAGATCTAACAATATTTCTGAAATGAATAAAGTTCAAACTATCATATTTCACAAGGTCAAAAGCATGATACTACTAATGAAAATTAGGCTGATGACAAATAACAACATTAGTGAAGAAGTTAGGCTACATGAATGACTTTTAGGGTTCACAAAATTCACCAAATCTGCCCTCCTAATATTAACTATTTGGTCAAGTTAATGAGTTATAACTCGAGAAGAGATAGTTATCATGGTGTAACCCCATAAAGCATGATATATAATAAACTAAGGCAAAAAGCTTAAATCATTCAAGGTTAAGCTAAAATTAAAATATGGTCATAAAAGCAGTTAATATATACTGACTATCTGCTATGAGCCAAGCAGTGTGCCAAAGCATGCTAAATTTGTTTTGTCATACAATGCTCAAATCAACCCTAAAAAAATAAATATCACTATTATTATTATTTTTCATGGAACTTCAGTAGCTTTTCCATATTCTCACAGGAATAAGTGCTGAAGAACTGTTTATTCCAAATTCCATATTCTCAGCCACTACTAATACTTTATCTTTTAAAAGTAATTCTCAAACATTTAAATGTATAAGTTTTTTAGGAATTATTTTATTTAACTTTATTTATTTATTTTAACTTGACCAGAGAGGGAGGGGGGGCATGCGGAGGGAAAGGGAGAGAGAGGGGGAGAGAGAGAGAGAAAGTGAGAAAGCAAGCCACCAGGTCCAGGACTCCAACTGTGGTTGGCCGTGTGGGAGTCTAGTGACTTTAACCACCACACCACCTGCTGGTCCCTAAAAATGTAATAGTTTTAATGTGTTTGATTATGACAGGTACTATTAGCTGCCTACCCAGTAGCCATTACTCCACTTCTCACTTGCCAACAGGATACAATTTTGTTTATGATCACTCGAGAAATCATGTCCTTCAAAGGAAGGAACCAATCACAATGATAGAAGGATAGTTTAGGCATGTATAAGCTACTTAATTCAGGCCAAAGCTACATACTGAACATCTGCTAGGGACACTGAGAGGCTGTCATTGCTCTGAATAGGAAAAAAAATCTCCTGGCCATTGGCCCCTCTGTGTGATAGCAGCTTCTTTGTGGTAGGCACCTTGGGATCACGAGGAAATCCAGTCTAAGAGGACAGTCTCCGCAATGTCAGAACACACCAGTCCTAGTACTGATGGCACCTAACTACTGAATTAACTAACCAACCCTGAAAGCACAAATCTCAAAATTTCTTTCTTTGTTTCTTTTTTAAGGTTTTTGCTGTTGGGCACTCACTGGAGAAAGACATAGAAGGAAAGTGAGAAATCACCACCCAGGGGGATGGCCACACTGTAATCTCCATTCCCCTCTTCGGATTTTGGCCACACATGCACCCAGTGTGATCTTCAAGCCACTAGGCCCAAAATTTGAAACATGATTGGCCATGTGGGAGTCCAGAGCCTTAACCACCATGCCACCTGCTAGCCTTGTCCATATTTCTTAATGTATGAAATAATATACTTAAAATTTAAACCGCATATGTTTTTTTCTATTACGTGAAGCTAAAAGTATTTGAAATGACAGTCACTAATAGTAGAAGATTGGGGGCCGACAGGTGGTATGGTGGTTAAAGGTGCTGGACTCCTAT